AAAAAGTCAATTGTTCAAAGGTACATTTTTCCTAAATGTTCTAACACTTACGGACCCAAATTCCTACCCCACAATGGATTGCCCAATATGTCCCCATACCCCTTTTTCCAGCCACGAACAGGACATCTGGCACAACAATTTCTACACTTTGACTTCGTGGTCACAAATGCAGATATCCTATTTCAATTTGTTTTTAAATTATTCATTGCTTCCGTCTCATACTCCCATGAAGTATAGATGCCCCTAGTTAAGAACCCCATTCCGATGGAATCCAGTGCAACATGAGGACAATGTACCCTCAGAATTTCCTCATTGGCAGTAACACCTTCCAAACATCAGTACCTCTCTTGAGAGCAGGAGAGTCTCATTCAGCTAATAAACATATCATATTGTCAGTTGTCACTGGTAGGTGGTTAGGGTGAAAAGGCCAAACATTCTTGAATAAGGTTTACTGCTGGGTCTCACTAGACAGCTGTGGGCCTGCTAATATTTGTCTCTGCTGTCCTTATCTTTTTTTCTCTAAAGAATTTACCAGAAGTGATAGGAATAAACTGGAGGAGGACATGATAGAAGTTTGGCTGGATGAGTACATGTAATGTCAAATCCTTCTTCTGTGTGAATGCCCGCACTTTTCCTTTACTGGTGTGCAGTGATATGCCAAAGGATGACCTTGGATCATTACCTCACAAACTTTATAATGCGTTTCCATATTTGTCACACATAACCAACTGGAGGCTGCATCTCCGTGACTCTTCAGAAACTAATTTAATGTACTGTTCCTACCAATTCCCTGAAGTTCAATAACATTGCATAGGGTGTGTGACTCATCTACATATGTGAACCATTTTTTAAATGGGAAATTATGAAAACAGCATTTCTTTTCTCTAAGAGGTTAAAGCATTCATGGTCTAACTAGCACGTTTTTTTTTTGTTTTTTTTCTTGTAGTCTCTTCTGTGTCTTCATGAAATCTTCCCAGCGGTGCAATCTGCTGAGACAGCAGTGAAGAGGAACCCGCACTTTGTGGAAGCCTGGCAGACTCTGGGCCGAGCACAGCTGGAACTGGGGGAAATAGTCATGGTGAGTAAACAGATTAGAGGACAAAATTAAGGTGCTAATAGCATGGAAAGAAAAGTTATTCTTACTGAATATAATGAGAACACTTGCAAGGCAATTTTTTATAAAGCTTACCTAACTTAAAAGAGAACTATGGCCTAACTTTTTTTGCCCATAGTTCTCTTCAGGGTTACATACTAATATCCTCCGGTGACCCAAAACTCAGTGTATAGCGGGCTATTGCCCACTATATGCTGAGAACGCAGAGCCGCTCCGCAGCCGGGATGGATCCAGACAATGTTGTTGAGATCAACCCCGCTGGCTGATTAACAGCTGGCTCCGCCTCTCTAATTATGGGGATAAGTGTATTTCACTCACCCCATAATTCTCCTTTAAAGAGACACTTTCATCTTCATAACATAGTTTAACAAAAAACAACTTTATAAATACATTTATAATTCTTCCCTTCAGAGTATCTGTTAAGTCCAAGTTTTTTTGTCTTGCAGAGTTAGAGACACTGTTAGTACCTATAGAATCTTATACCTCCGCGGAAAGTTTACATACCCCTGTTGCCTGGTTATTGATATAGCCAGACAAGGG